ATCCACCATCACCAACTCTTGGGTTACTCTAATCAACACTATCCATCATCAACAACTCTTGATTATCTAATTAACATCATCCACCACCACCTACTCTTGGATTACTCTAATCAACACTATCCATCATCAACAACTCTTGATTATCTAATCAACATCATCTACGCCACCAACGCTTGGGTTACTTTAATTAACATCATCCACCACCACCAACGCTTGGGTTACTTTAATTAACATCATCCACCACCACCAACTCTTGGGTTACTCTAATCAACACTATCCATCATCAACAACTCTTGATTATCTAATTAAAATCATCCACCACCACCTACTCTTGGGTTACTCTAATTAACATCATCCACCGCCACCAACGCTTGGGTTACTCTAATTAACATCATCCACCGCCACCAACGCTTGGGTTACTCTAATTAACATCATCCACCACCACTAACTCTTGGGTTACTTTAATTGAACAATGTAAATCGCCGCTTTTGTGTTTGTGGCAACGGGACACGAACGTTGGATTCTAAGATTCACAGATCGGCACTCTAACCATTAGGTCATGCCCAGACCACATGAAAATGGTACAGTAAGTTCTTAAAAAAAGGCGTATAAAGCTAATTGTTGTTAAACTTGAAACTTTATTATTATGTTCTGTATTACCATATTACCTTATTCTACCCTGTGACTCTTGGTCACTAGTTTTTCACCCCCTTCTCTGATTCTTGTCCAATTCGATCTTGATGTCATATCCGTCATCTCCAATTGAACAATGAAGTACATATGTGGCTAGAGGAACCAGAAAAGGAAAGATTTAGCTCGGAAAAAGAAAGACACGACTTATTTTAATTTCCGTTGATTATTAAGGAGAACAAAATGTGACATTGCTAAATAACATAGTATCACGTTATTTCCTTCACATCAGACGAAATAGGTCTTCGGCACTTCATTCCAATAACTGCCTAATGAAAGAATGCTACTTTTGTAACTTCCTGAAGCCAGTTATAGTCAAGTTTGGAATTTAAGGATCGTTTAGTTTATTTTGCTGTTAAACGCAAAGCTACACATTTGGCTCTTTGTGTTGTGGCCATCATGGGTATCGAAACCCGATACTTCGCGTTATAATCCTTCAGACTTACCACTGGAAGGGTGGAGTTGTTCGTAGTTCTCTAGTGTGTTAAAACGTCCACTAAAAATAACATCATATAACTGTGACATGGATAGCGTTTTTGGTGGAACAAAAATGTTGTTTTTCAGTGGTGTTAATAATTGAGCCTTTCAAAACTCAAAACCGTATAGTTACACAGTTTTGTAATACATATTCTTAATACACTTATTGTAAAAATAATCTCCTCACGTTGTCTAATTTGTTGAAAACTGCTTATTACGTACTTTGACTGAAAGACTTAAATTGAACTAAGTACTACCACTAAGTATTTTTCACTAGCGCCATCTATTGGATATAACAATAATTATAGTTTAGTACAGAAAAAAAAAATACAATATGTATACTAATTCTCACAGTTACGAGTCATAGTAGTAAGCTAAACGCATCTATATAAGCAAATTAAAATATAACAGGTATTCGAAGTACATACGAGCTAAATAATAGATCTAACCAGTTCATTCAAAACCAATAAAACTGTATGTAATCACTGGTTTGAAAATGCATTGTTAGACCAAAAAATATATTTCAAGCATTATGTAGAAAAGATACCAGATAACTGGAAAGCCACATTTTAAATTACATAAGGTATATTCTAAGCTACAAACGAAAATATTAATGATTTTAAGCCGCGGGGGTGGAAGGAAACGGCATATTATTATAAAGACGAGGGGGGGGGGGAAGAGCGCAAACTATGATTTATTCTGAAACGTGCTTACTCTACGTTTTAAAAGCAATATAATTGTGTGATCGATGTCTGGAGCAGAGTTCAAATAAACAGGACTACAGAACCATAACTACTGGGGAATTTGTTCCTGAAAAGACTAACTCTAATTCTAAATTGATAAACCAGAGAGAGAGAAAAGGCAGCTGGTCAAACCACTACTACCAACTTTTGGCCATAGATTTCTGACTAATATCTGAACTGATAAACCAGAGAGAGAGAAGACTGCTGGTCAATGCACCGCCAACTCTTGGTCTTATCTTTCTTACTAATATCTGAATTGATTAACCAGAGAGAGAGAGAGAGAAGGCAGCTAGTCAAACCAACACCAACTCTTGTTCTTATCTTTCTGACTAATATCTGAACTGAGAAACCAGAGAGAAAGAGGGCAGCTGGTCAAACCACCACCAACTCTTGTTCTTATCTTTCTGACTAGTACCTGAACTGATAAACCAGGGAGAGAGAGGACAGCTGGTCAAACCACTGCTAACTCTTGTTCTTATTTTTCTGACTAATACCTGAACTGATAAACCAGAGAGAGAGGGCAGCTGGTCAAACCAACACCAACTCTTGGTCTTATCTTTCTGAAAACTATCTGAACTGATAAACCAGAGAGAGAGAGGGCAGCTGGTCAAACCAACACCAACTCTTGTTCTTAT